GCTGACAAATGGGGCTGAGCACAGCCAAGAACAGCCATAGCTGACAGTGTGTCCTGCCAGGAGCAGCTTCAAGGGCAAATGGGGGGATTGGGGCAGGGAGCAGCCCCCTCTCCATGGGCCAGGCAGGAGGCTGGAAAGAGCAGGGTGCAGGGGGAGCCTTCCTGTGATATCAATCTCATGTTTTATCCTATGATTTTGTAAAATAAAAGGTGAAAATTTTAAATGAAACATATTCCTTTCTTTGACACCAGGAATTATGAATTGATAAAGATTTCCTATTACCTTATAAAATCTACCAGGCCAATCCTTCAGCAAGGCCATGCCCATAATTGCAAGCAGATGTCTTTCTCTGCTGACACGTTAAATGGAAGCAGAAAGACCCGCTGCTATCTCCCATCAACAATTTGCACTTAAGCAGAGAACAGATTTTCACAGAGCAGGGCTGCTGGAGGAGGAGGAGGAGGAGGGGGATTAGGTTCCTGTAGCCCAGGCGTCTCAGCATTACAGCAAAACAAGGCAGCTGGGGAAAACAATGAACTCTAAACAGTCCCTAATTCCAAAGTAACCAAAAGCTTTTGTGCAGGAAAATGAATTTGTGAAACTAATACTGCCAGGGCCCATGGAGAGCACAGGGGCTGAGGCAATGCAAGGGCGAGATGATCCAGCTGACAAACACCCACCTCAGCTCCCACGGACCCTGCTGGGCTGCACTGGCTTCTGAGGTCTGTGTCAGCACAGAGCACAGGGGCTGCAATTATCAATACAAGTGGAAGTGACAGGGTGTTTAGCAAACATTAAGCCCAGGAAGCTTAAAAGGTCTTCCAGGATTATTAAATAAACATTTAGGACGAATGAAAGACTATGAAATGGTGAAGAAATTGCAAACATTCTGGAGCAGGCAGTTGGGGCTGCAGAGATTCAGCTGTGCAGGAGAGTGTTTAATCATTTATGGAGTGTCACACGTTGTCACGCCTCAACTCATGGCAAGTGTTAATCCAGGAGCTGGACTTTGATAAAAATTTAGCCTGATACTAACATTTTATTAAAGACCATTTAACATGCAAATCTGAACGTGCCAGCCAGCACCATCAGTTTGGCCAGGCCAATGCTGCCATCACTGTTCCACGAGCCCTGCAAGAAGACACATGGCCTCACACGTGTTAAATCACCTCAGAGCTTCCACAAATAGCTCCATCTTCTCCAAATCCATATTTTCCCTTGCTGTACAGGAACTGGGGAGGCTGTCTGGGCTGGGTGTGCTCACCCCCACTTGAGGATGACCAAGCTGAAGATGTCACATCTGTCTCAAGAGGCTGCAGTTTGTTGTTTTCAGGAGAGGCTGCACACACACACTCATCAGCCTGCCCAAGGTAAATGCCCTGATCTCCTCATCTCTTTCCAAGGAACAGCAGAGATACTCACACTCCACCATCCTCCTGGGGCCATAATTTATTCATGTACAATACCACACCTCCCAGTAAATTAGCCTCTCTGCCACACCAGTAACTCAAGAGTTTGGAGAAAGTCAGATTGAGGCAGTGAAGTGCCAACAGCACAGGTTGCCAATAGCACAGTGGGCCCCAACCTGGACTAAAGAAAAAGAACAGTTTTGGTGGCAGCCCCATGGAGCTGTTCCTGCACGAGGACAAGAGCAGAGAGCTGGATCCCAAAGAATGCTGCACTGCCTGCACCAGGTACAGATCCCTCCAGCCACGTCCTGGCTTTCCTCCTCCTCTCCACAGAACGGCCTGGCAAATATCCCCTGCTTGTCTCCAAAGGAAAAACCTTCCAGACAGCAGTGAATTCCCCACCCTAGCACATTTCTTCAGAAAAGAAGGACTGTTTGCTGCCTGCTCGTGGCTCTTGGGATCTTGGCAGGCTGTGAGAGGAGCCCGCTGTGCTGCAGCGTGCCCGTGCCCTCGCACTGGCAAGTGGAGACAGATTCATCACTCTGATGTGCTGGGAGGAGACAGAGCCAGGGCTCCCCTGGTGCTGCCAGACTCTCTGCCAACGGCAGGGGCACAGCAGACCCTGCTCCTGCCGTGCAGGCAACATTCTCGTGGCAGACTGCTGCCCCAGAGGACATTTCAGCCTTGATGGGAAGTTCTTGAAACAAAGCCCTCGTTTGTCTCAAGGCTGTGAGGCCACCCTGACAGGTTGACCCGCACTCCCTCCCTCCTCGAGGCTCTCCAGGATGGGGTTTTGCTTTGGGAAGTGTGCTGCAGGGTTCCTAGACCCTGCATGTGGGTCTGTCTGCAGGAGAAGCTCCCAAGAGCAGAGGAGCTGCCAGCCTGCCCCACCTCCCCTTCCAAGGAAGAGATTCAAGCATGGCTTGGACACCTACAGCCTGCCCAAAGGAGAAGCTTATCCAACAGGCTGCACGCTCAGAGGCTCAGATGGGATCACTGGGGAAGAAACAGTAATAAAAAAATGTCTGTTCCTTTGGAAAACAGGGATTTTAAAAGCACTTGCTAGACCCTGGAAGACGCTTTTCCTCGCTGGGTCTGAGGGAGCTCTTTCTCCTCGGCGGTGCCACTGTGGCACGCAGAGCCTGGCTGGGATGGAAAAAAGAACCTCCGAGCCAGGGAACAGCGGTTTCCACACACAGCTCTGGCCCTGGGGTGGAGAGTGGCTTTCATTACGGGGGTATGTGTGTCCTTTTCAGGGGTCATCCAGCACCACGCAGTGAGAAAGCAGGAGCAGCCTCCGAAACACAGCGGAGCGTTTTCTCTGCAAGGTTTCTGGCGTTGGGGCGGGGAAAGGAGAGTTGCACCGTGGCTTTAGAGAATGTTTCAGCTGAGATCTTGCATGTTCAGCCAGCAACCCCTCACTGCTGGGTCCATCTACAGCCTCAAGGAGCTCAGGGGTCCATCCCCTGCTTCCCCTGGCCCCACAAAGAGTGGTGAGAGCAGTCCAGGCAACTCCATCTGCCCACAAAGGGAAGGAGCTTGTTATTTCCATTCTTACTCTTATTTTTCAGTTATTTGTGCTACACTCACTGCACACCTGGGCTGCCTGTTTATGGAACAGCTGATTAAAGCAGGACCAGCTCCAGATGGCAGATGTTTAGCTGATGACCCCAGACCTGCTGCCTGTGAGCCAGTGATGAGCCAGCTTCAGCCTGGCACAGCTGCAGTGCATCACCCCCTCGTCCTGCACAGCATTCAGAGAGTTCCACACCAGGCACACCAGGCTGGTGTCCTCTTTTCTCCAGAACAAATCCCCCCCAGTTGCTCAGCTGTTCTTCCCAGCAGCAGTCAAAGCAGAACACAGACCGCCAGCAATATAAGAAAATCAGCTGAGGGATGGAAGATGAATTTTTGTAAAGCATGAAAGAAAACTGTATTGAGTTTGTAAGTGAACTACAAACTGGAGGCCAGACAGGTGGAACTCAACAGAAGGAATGCTGGAGCAAAGAAGATAAGCATTATTGGGAGGATAAACTGAGTCACAAAAGGATGATATTTTATTTTAGGATTTAAGGTTCATAGTTCAGACAAGACTGGGCTGTAGCAAGCCTGAGTGTCCCAGAGGTGGCACATCACTGTCCCACAGACACCCCACAGGGCAAAACTGAGGGTGTCTCCCAGCACAAAGTATGACTGAGCACTTATACACATGCTTGTAACTTAAACCAGAACTCATTGTAACAATCAGCATCAGACATTTTAAAATGCAAAGTGTATCCATGAACTGCACCAACACCCATCTCTGTTCTGGGAACACTACACCAGACACATGGTGCCTGATTTAAGGAGACTTTTGTGCTTTCTCTTTTCAGTAAACATCTCTTTGCTCCACATGACTCCACACAAGCACAACCCAGGATCTTGGGTACTTTCTCCATAGTTTACACTTAGCCCACTTCAGGTTTTAATAAACTTTTCTTGTTGGAGAGCAGTACAGGAAATCTAAAGACACCAAAGGCACCCACATGCAGCAGCTGGACTGCAAGTCTCACTTTTTACATGACAAAAAAATCCTTCAGGAGTTGCCAGTTAGAAGAAGCCAGTAAGGGAATTGATTCTGTAAATTTTCAGCAACCACACCTGGCTTCCTGCATCTCTTCAAACTGACCTGATGCTCTCACTTTGTTGAACGGCCACAGACAAACCAGCAGTGAAATGCAGGGACACAAAAAGCAGAGCCAGATTCAGCCCAGGCACCAGCTCTGAGCTGGGAACAGGAGACCCCAAGCAGCAGCTCCTCAGCACTGACCTTACCTTGTGGTCTTGTGGTGACCACACTGCTGCAGCCAGTGTCTCAGCCAGGTGCACTGCAGGAAGAACTTGGCCCTTGAGCTCTTAAACCTTCCCCTGCACTAAAAACCCAGCTGGGGCTGCAGCAGTTCCTCACCCAAGAGGTGGATAAAGGATCACTTGGATTAAAACCAGGGCTGGCTGAAGCAGCAGGAGCTTCCCAGGAAGGGCAGCTGCTCTCCCTGCAAGCTGCTGCATGCCAGTGGGCATGCAATCACAGAACCATGGAAAAAATAAGGTTGGAAAAGACCTCCAAGATCATTGAGTCCAACCCTTGGCTGAACACCACCATGTTAACTAAACCAATGTGACACATCTAGTAATTTCTTGAGGCATTCCAGGGATGGTGACTCCACCACTCCCCTGGACAGCCTGTTGCAATGCCCTGGGACCACTGAGAGCCTCCAGGCCAGGCTCCCCGAGCACACCCACAGCCTGTCATGCTGCAGCAGCCACAAAGGGGTCAGGAAACAGCATCTCTTTATAAAAATGGAGGTGGGGGAATCATATTTCATGGATTAATTTGGCAATTTTAGCAGCAGCAGCAGCACTCCCTCTGCTGTGCTGTGCTCAGGAAGGTGACAGAGGGGGGACAGAGGGTCCCTGCCCCATCCCAGTGGGGCTTTTAGGGGCACTGTGGGCACTCACAGAGAACCACACTTGCAGCTCATCATGTCCTGACTCCATTCCCCACACGGCTGGATTTGTCAGCCCTCTCCATCATTTCACCTCACCAATCTGTGATGTTAAAGCCCATGGTTTATTTATTTCTTTACTTCACTAATAAAGCACATTATCTACAATGATTAATTTTGCAATAAAGAAACAACACTACTACAAATGGTGGTCTAAGACAACCTAAGGGGACTCTACAAAGTTCACATCCTAAATCCATCTCTCTGTTAGCTGTGAAACATCATTCCTCAGAGTACTTGGCTTGTTAATGGAATTCTTCTACAACCAAGTCCATGGCTCTGTCCCCATGTGGGAAATAAGCACCACTCCCAAGCTAAGGAATAATTAATGCACCAGTTTCGAGGGGGTTTGGTTCAAACCTCAGAAATGAGGATTTGTTATTTCACTTAACTGTGATACAACAGGATTATCTCAGACATCAGATATTCATTCTCTCAGAGTATTGGTGATGGATGAGAATACTAAATGGAAGGAGGAAGGATAATGAATACAGAGTGGTATGGGTCTATGAAAAAGAGAACTAGTCCAATTAACAGAATAATGAATTTCAGCTTGGTCGATAAATGTAATCATTTGTGTAAGACATTCTTTGTCTTTCATAAACTATTTGAAATCATACAAACATGACATTTCAATTAGGGCAAAAAAGACATAATGATAGAGAGCCAAGTTGCCATAGATCAAACAGACAAAACCCCAGACTGATGGGTCCCACAGCAAAGAGGGGAAGACAGAGACGATACATTCCCTGCGGTGCTCCACAGGGAAAAGTCCTTGGCCTTCTGCACTCTGGTACTTTGCCAGCAGCCTAAAGGAACTATAAAAACATCACTGGTAAAGTGAGGGAGTGACATGAGCTGGAGGAGCTGGCCATGAGCTCCCCCCAGCCAAAGCCCCAGGCAGGCCAGCAACTGAACCTTTGCTCGGGCTTAAAATGGAGTGCCAGGTTTGGGCACCAGCAGCTCAGGGCACCTGTGCACGGGAACTGCCACACCCAGGGAGGGATCTCAGCTGGACACTGCTGAGACAGGGGCCTGCACAAGGCCAAAGGCACAGGGGTGGGCAGAGAGCCCCCTCTGCCCCTGCTCCCCATGCCAGGGCACCAACACACTGGGCACAGTGTGGAGACTCAGAGGCTGCCTGGGTGCAGCACAGCACTGGGCAACAGGGGCTCAGCTGGCACAGCAGGTGCCAAGGCAGGCACCCAGGGACACATCACAAGAGATGCTGGTAAGAGAGGGCTCCAGCCCAACAAGGCACCACAAGGAACCAGGGTTAAGGCTTAAACTAAGCAGGTTAAGACTATAATGGGATATTTTTACAGTGAGGGCAATTAGCTATTAGGAATTCTTATCAGAGGTTGTAATGGGTTCTCCACTACTCATTTATTAACTTTGATCATGAAGATAGGATCTGTGTCTAATCAGCCAGCTCTGGCTCACACAGGAATTCAGGGCAATCCTGCAGCCATGAAGACGGGAGTGACGTGGTGACGAGGGTCCTTTCTGCAAGCGTGCAAGCTCTTAACATCACCTCACACCCCTGTGCTTGCCCTCTTTACCTGACAGCTGCTATTTCAATGGTTGTACACATCTGTACAACAAGAGGCCTTTAGACAATGCAGACGTAAATCGTGTGTGACCTCAGCGACCGCTTGGAGCACGTGCAGGCGATCAGGCCGAGGGTGTGGGAGGGCTGAGATCGGTGAGGGAGCTCTGAGGAGCAGGATGGAGGAGCAGGAGGGCTGGGCTCCAGCATCCCTGCTGCAGAGCAGCGAGGCCGAGCCGCCGTGCCCGCCTGGGCAGGTCCAGAGCGCGGCTCTCCCGCCGCCCAGCACATCACTTGAACACGGACGGAAACGTCGGGCAGTCGGGGGATTTCATCTTCTTCATAAACTTCTTGAACTCTTTGTTCTTCTTGTCCCACTTGTAGATAGCTGTCAACAGGTACTGAGTCTTCACCTGGCGGCCCATGATGAGGAAGTAGTGGCTGAGGTTGTCCAGCTGATGGCAGGGACAGTCTGCCCCATTTTTTAGGAACAGCACCAGCTTCTTCAGGTTCTTCTTCCGGATGGGCCCCAGCTTCAGTGCCTTCCTCTTGCGTGGAATGATCATCTTGTCCCCATTCTCCTTCTTCACTTCCTTTATGGTCATCTTAAGAGCTGCAAAACAAGATGGGAGTGGGGGAAACATAAACTCCTAAGCAGCCTTCACTGGCACAAAGCCTCTGCTAAGTGAGGCTGAGGGAGCAGCAGTGCTGTGGCCCCAGAACAGCAGCAGTGCCCTGTCCCACTCCTGCATCCCCTTTTTCCATACTCTGCTCCTGAATCCTCCTGCTCCATGGCAGCACCCTGGCCATGACACTCATAGCCTTGGGTGGAGCTGCCCCATGCCCAGGAGAGCACCAAGGTAAAACACTGACATCTTTGTTCCCCTTCCCGCAGCAAAGCACCCAGACCTTTCCATTAGAGAGGGGACTTGTTCAGCTGCCAAGCACAAATGTTAACTGAGTAAATTAGGTGACTTCCCTGCTCTAGAGGCATGGAGAGACTCTTGAAAGGATCATTTAAAAGGTCAATTTGGCTTTTCAAGCATTTGTTTGCAGTCACACCGGCCCTCGGGTGCCTGTGAAACAAGTTTCCAAGCACTGGATGTCCCTGAATCAGAGCTGTGGAGATCCCAGCATGCACTCATGTGCCTGCACCTTCCCTGGGAGAAGGGAAGTTGGTCTGCTACGACTGCCATGGAAAATACTCTCCCCTCTTTGGGTTCAGCATTTTCCTGAGCTCATTGCAATACCCCCCGCCCCAAAAAAAGAGGGAAAAAAAAAAGGTTTTTTACAATGACCATGAAGAGGAATTTTGCATACATGGGAAAAATGATGAAAATGTGTTGTACATTAAAACATCATTTCAGTGCCATTTGGCTCTGCCTCATTTTTGGGGAAAAGCACATATGGACCAAAATTGCTAACATATTTTCATCATTTGGGAGTTTACTTCAGAGCTGCAGATAACTAGTGCTCAGAGAGGTGATTGGTTGGCTGCTGTCCCTTCTCATTAGAGTCTCAGGGCAGTTGCAGGCAGTCCACAAGAACCTCTGGCTCTGGCAGGGAGATGGGTCCTCACAGCATCATTCCTTGAAGTCCTGCTCTGCTGGAACACGCAGCAGTGAACACGTGTTGCTTCCTGGACAGGAGCACTGCTCACTGTTCCAGACACAGATGGCAGCAGGACAGCACCATGACAATCCTGAGCAGGCAGCAGAGACTCAGTATCACCCTCACGCTCCCAGCCACTACCCTGGCAACAGGAGCAATGCTGTTTGTTTGCCCCTGTGCCAAAAACATCCCTTAGGTTTGCCAAGAGCCCTGCCATGTTACACTGCTATCACAATCTAGGACTGGAAACCGAAGTGAAATTTTCATTCCATCTGTTTTCCAAATTCAGGAGCTAAAGAAACTCAAGTTTTAAGGAGCTAAAGATGCTGAACCAGATCAGCTCGTAACAAATCTGGAAAATGAAGTAAGTAGTTTTCAAGCAGCTCTAAGTTCCATGACACCAACTGGGCAGCAGTAGCAGCAACACCCCTCAATGTCAGCCTCACTTCCTTTATTCATGCTGACTAGAGCCCTTGCACTAAGCACAGAGGTGGCCAGGGCAGGAGGGATGGTAAAACACCATTACAACAGCACAATAAGAGACTTTTGCAAAATGGCTTGTTTGCTTTGCTGAGATCACTGCAAAATTTGATCCTTTTTGCTAAAGGAAGAGAAGGATCTGCCAGCTAGTGGAGGTGCTGATCTACTCCAAGTATCACCCAGCAAGGAAGACAAAGAAGGCCTGGTAATCCTGTGCTGTGGGAGCTCACAGCTGCTCCCTTCCCTGCACACAGCAGCTTGTGAGCCAGCGATGCAGGTTCATGGGAGCTGCCCTGGGGAACCATAAATCCAGATGTAAACCAAAACCTCATCCAAACCTCGCTCGTGCAGAGCAGCACACAGAGCCAAGACAGGATAACGCCAAGGGGGATGAAGGAGGAGGCTGACCAGGGGTGCAAATAGTTGTGTCAGGCTCTGTTCTTCCCAGCAGCAATGTCCTTGTAAGCAGCAAGAGCCTGTGGTGCTGCCCAGGTAAACACAGCCTGGCTCATGGGCCACCAAGCTTCATCTGCCTTTGGTGCTGCAGGCTGAGCAGTCACACAAGCATGATGATCTCTGCTCAGCCCTCATTCCTCTGGCTCCCCCAAACTCCCCTTGTTTACTTAATTGGGCCTCATTCCCTAAGTTCCAACCCACGTTCCAGGTGAGATTCCCAGGTATGAAAGCTGGGTTCCATAGTGGCAGGCCAGACACAGCTTTGGCACATCCCAGGAACACTAGAAAAGTGGTGTCTGAGGGTACACTCATTCCAGTGCTCATCCCACTCTAAGAGCTCACCATCACACAGTGGGAGGCAGTCTCCAACTTCTGGCTTGCCTAGAACATGGCATTTGGTGGTGGACCATGGCAGCAGCTCTCCTGGTGAATCCCCAGCCCTGGGAATGCTGCTGCAGCAGGCAAAAGCCTTGAGCAGGATGCTTTGAGTCTTGGCTCCAGGAGCCAGCTGAGCTGCCAAAGCAAACAGCTTCCTCACTGGGAACCTTGGCCTTTCCACTCCCCCCATGCCACACCAAATCTGTCTCAGCACCAAGTGGGAGAAGGGCCAGAATCATCCCAGGACACGCTTGCTCAGACAGAATTAATCTTCAGCTGTGGCTGCCAGGCAGGAGCTGACCCCAGGAGAGCTACCCACAGCAGGAGCATGTGCCACCTTTCCAGTCCAGCAGCTGCACTGTGACCACAGGCTGAAGCAGCTGTGGCACTGGTAGCAGCACCAGCCCCTGCCACTCTGCATGCCACAGAAGCCCCAGAGGGCTGCAGGATCAACATGCCACCCACAAGCCCTTCTTGCCATTTGCTTTCATGGGACACACCCATGTTCCAGCACAACCTTCTCCAAGGACAGCACTGTACCAGGGTAGTCACCAGCTGAGAGCAGAGCCCCTGTGCCCTGTTCACAAGCCACTACCATGCATCATTCCTGTTCCCCACTGGCACCTCCACCCCTCTTTCAGGACTAGGATGCTGTCTCTGCTGTTCTCCTGCCTGCACGGGCAGGGGCCCCACTCCAGCACCTCATGTGCAGGAAAGGGAACGTGAGAGAAGGGAAAGCTCCACTGTTCCTTCAGCCTCATTTTTCCTTCCTTTAGAAATCACTGAGAAGGAAGAAACCTGCCAGAAGACACATTAGGGCTGTAACAGGAGAAGGCTGCAGGCAAGGACCTGTCAGTCACAGAGAAAAAATAAACAGCATGTATTGATTGTTCTGCAGTCCCCAGTGCCACAGAGCCTGTTCAGCAGGATCCCCTCAGACCCCAGAGAAAGGGCAGAAACAATAAATAAAATCACTAAGAGAAACAGAGCGTGGAATGAACTCCTGGAGTAAGAAACAAGCGCTGGCTACAGCCCAGGGCAGCTGGGGGAGGCGGCTGTGGGGGCACTGGAGGCCGATCTCGTGCTTCCTCTTGTTTCCATCGCTGCCTCAGCACACCAGCACTACAATCTACACTGCAGTTACCCCCACGTGCCTGATCCAGCCCCCTGTGCTGCTCTGTGCTCAGGCCAGGGTGCTGGCACCCCTCACTGACATCCACCCCAAAGATGTCTTATTCTCAGAGGAACAGCCAAGCTGCCTCAAAGCTGCATCCTGGAGCCCTCATTCATCCCTGCTCAAACAAAGGCAAACCCAGAGCTCTGCTGGACCATGAGGCTGGCAGTCTCCTGGCACCCCTCTGACCCCCAGCATCTTGTCCAAGATCCTCTCCTGCCTTGTCTTTACAGTTTGTGCTCACAGCTCACTGCAGCTCTCTTTCTGCACTGTACTCTAGGCCAACAACACCAGGGTTGCTACACAGCCACTTCCTAACTGGCACAGCCACACATCTGTGGAGGGCAAAGTGGTCCTCACCTCTCTTCTGTACCAAGCTGCTGGGATGCAAGAGAAAACGACACAGTGGGAATCAGTGCAAGACCTACCAACAGCTGCCCCATGCAGCACATGCTAGTTTAAACATTTATTGTACATGTCTGGCTTTGATGAGGATCTGTAACCTGTCAGCTGCCAGTGTTTACCTTGGTGGACGTGCATGAGAAACCTCAGTCTGAAGGTTTGGGAGTTTATAATAGTGCCAGATAAACAGCTTTCCTTGAGAAATCACCCCATGACAGTAACCCCTCAAGACTAAACAAAGCTCCAAGGGCCATACGCTGTGCTTTGGGAAAACTTCCTGAAGCCGATGCCTCCTCCACTAGCCACTCCCTCTGCTGAGACATCCTTCCCATCCTGCACTGCCTTCCCTCACAGGGCACAGGTAGGACCTTTACTGCATCCTATCCCCTGTTCCTGCTCCCCAGCTGGCTACAGATGGGCCACATCTGCCAGGAAATAATTCCATCCTTTGGACACTGTCACCACTGTCTTTCCCAGTAATAACACTGTGGGCAAGTCACTGTCCCAAGCTGCTCTGCCAAGGCAGGGAATTCCTCTGGTTTGGCCTCTGCTCCCTGTTGTATAACTGTCCCAGAGCACGGGAGGATGTTCAGCAGCAGAAGCTGATGACAAGCTTGCAGTTGAGTTTGTATTTCCCTTCCCAGCACTCTCCTACCAGCAGGACACCCCCTCAGCTCACTCCCAGCACACCTCTGGCAAGGGGACAGGTTTTGCAGTGACCCACGAGCACCAGATCCCCTGCTGCCACTGGCCAGTGCCCCTCACTCCCTCTCTGGGATGAAAGCCCCCAGCCCCTGGCCTGGGGCAATGCCTCTGCATCACTGCAAGCCTGGGCAGGGAGCTCCTATCCAAACCAGGTGTGCTGATCCCAGAGGCTGTTTCTCCCTCCTCACCATCTCTCTCTCCCTGTATGTGCAATGGGGCAGGGGCAGCTCTGATTCAGCTCTCATGGCCTGCCCAGAACAGAGCTCTGAGCACCCAGCTCTGAGCACTCAGCACCTCCCACTCCCCAGCCAGGCCAAGCACTGAATGTCTGCTTCCATTCCCCAGCCAAGCCAGAAGTATGCACATTCCTGGGAAACTATTACATGGGTGTTCCTGTTGGTGCTTTTCCCTGTTAGAAAAAGTCTGTGCTGAACTTAAGACTTCTGGCATACCAAATCTGCAGGACAGTTGAGAATTCATTTCCAGCAGAAAGGGTAGCACACCAGCATGCAGAGCAGGTTTGGGTTTGCATAAGCACGCTCCAGTACAGGGCACATTCAAGTGCTAATCCCCCAGGAATGCACACCTTGTTCAATATGCCTTTAATAATCTTCCGGGAAAGTTACATACACCAGCAAGGATGTCAAAACCAGTTAATTCTGGGTTTGATCTGAGAAAGCTAATATATTTCCTTGTGATAATCTTTTTTTCTAAATGAAGTTCAGTTTACCACTGATTGTCTCACTCACTCACTCATTTAGGACAAAGCCTTCAAGCAGCTTTGCGTTTTTTAACAAGGTCCACCTCTGCATGCCCACAGTGACATCTAGAGGCACACGTGCCCAGCCTTGGGGACAGATTGCAGGACACACCAGCACCACCACGGGCAGGGAAGTGTGGCAGCTCCAGTCCAGCCACACAGGAGTCATGCTGCCCGTGACCAGCTGGGAAGCCTCCCCGTGCCGAGAGTGCTCCTTCTTACCAAACTCGCTGGCACACAGGTGCTCCACAATGGCCTCTGACTTCATCTCATTGTCACAAGGGGGACACACGGTCGTTCCTGGCAAGAGAAAAGAAGTGAAGACAGTTGAGAGGTGGTGAGAAGCCAGCAGAAGTGGCACCGCAAAGCCAGACTGCCCATGCTGTCAGTGTCACCCTCCAGGGGGATCCATGCCCATGTACCCTGTCACAGCTCCCAGAAGTGTGGGACAACACTTGTAAGGATGTAAGGAACCATCCACCAGCTTACAGGGCAGCACTGGCCACAGGCAGCCTGCTGCCAGCCCCACTCCTACGCTGTCAGTGGCCCCGAGGCCAGGCACAGGCAGCTGCTAAGAGCAAGAGGACAGCACTGGCAAGGGAAGGAATTCTCAGGGCCAGGGACTCAGCTGAGGGAAGACGCCTGCCAAGGGGCACGGCCCATAGCCTGCTGACATCCCCTCCCCACTGCATGGCAAGGCAGGCACACAATGCCCAAACCCCAGCACAGCAGGAAGATGCTGCCCAGAGATGGCACAAGTGCCAAGGTGCTACCCTGGAGCCAGGCAAGGGGTTCAGGACTGTGCCACAGACTGCCCAGGCAGGGCTCAGGAAGCCCCTGGCTCCCCCCTCATGCCCTGTCCCAGAGCAGCAGTGGTTGGGGGTGGACCAGCACAGCTCTTGTGGATGCTGCCACCACCAAGAGTGGTCATCCTCTCTTTTGTTTTGAGCCCAGGGCAGCCTCTTGGCTCCAGCAGAGTCACCTCTGCTTGTCAGTCGCTGGCAGCGGTCAACATCTGCCTCTTGGGAAATGCCAGCCCAGGAGATTTCACGGGATCTGTCCTGGGAGGAAATCTCACTTCACCAGAGAATAAGAATCTGTTTCCAAGTCCCCATCTGCAGTTGGAGCAGACCACCCAGCAGCACAGACGTAGACTTGAGCTACTGGCAGATGAATTTATTGAGCTGGGAGATGCTGCTTGTTCCTGGTCCAGCAAGACGGAGGGCTCTTCCCACACAAGGGAGTTATTCTCAGGGACAACACTGCAGCAAAACATCTGCCAGTCCCTGCATGTAAACAGAGCACTCATGGCCTTCCAGCCCTCAGCCAGGCCAGCAAATCCACAGTATTGCTGGACTGAAAAAGCAGAGAGGTGTCTCAGAAAGAGGGGTGCAGAGCCAGCACAGCTGGTGAGGGAGGCACAGCCATGACCATAGTGTCATGTCTCCTCAGCCACAGATGCCCCATGGGGATTCAGGCCAGACATTCATTTTCCGTGGCTTGTTCTTCCCCTGTTGCCACCCCCAAATCTCTTCTGTGCCAAATGCTAATTCCTGGGGACATGCACCATGACTTTATTAATCACACATGCAGAGCAACTAGTCTTCTGCTCGCTCCTATGTGCAAGTCACAAGTCAGCCTTCACAGCACCAACATCCACCTCCAGAGCCCCACACTCTCTGTACTTCTGTCCATCACCTGGGTAACCTCTTCTTCCAGAACCCTAACATGCAATGCCACTGTCACCATCTCACTCAGTGACACAGGCAGAAGCCAGCCTTTGGAGATATGATGACATCCGCAATCAGAATATTTCTTTCCAGGCTGCACATTTACTGTGCTCATGACCTTCTTATTCTCATAGCAAGGTGACACAGGCCCAGCCCTCCATCTTCTGCAGAGCCAGGAGTTCATCACTGTGCTGGGCACCACTGTCAGGAACAAGCAGGGGTACCTGCCATGCCAAGCACTTCAATCTGCCCCAGCAGCCAAAGTGCACATGAGGAGGCTGGCCAAGCCAAGCCTACACCAGCCAGACAAACATGAAAACCACCACTGCATCCACTCTGTGAGTTTTCCAGGCAACCAATTAAAACAGAAAAAAAAGCAAACAAAAATGGAAAATAAGACTCATTGTTCCCTGGTGCAAATACAGGCTTTGTTCTAGCTATGCTCCAGCAGCCCCATACGAGGCTGTAACACACCCAAGGTGGCAGAGACCCCTGCCTTGCTGCACCAGGGCCCAGAGCCAACAGCCAGCCTGAGGGCTCGACCTGGGAGCCCCTGGATAGCCCCTTGCACAGGCAGCAGCCTCACCTTATGGACAGTCCCCCTGCCCTAATCAATAACCTTGATCACGTTGCTCAGAGTCCCACCAAACCTGACCATGAATGTTCCCAAGGACGGGGCACCCACCATGTTTCTAGATAATCTGTGCCAGTGTTTTACAACCCTCACTGTAAAAAACTTCCTCCTTATAACCAATCTAAATCAGCCCATCCTCCAGTCCTGCCTCCTGCAGCCCTTTCACAGCACAGCATGACTGCTGGAGACTCTGTCCCCTGTCAACGGGAAGAAAAATTGTCCTCTGCTCTGGATCACCACATCACACTACAGTCAGGAACACAAATGCTAGGGGTCCAGCCAGCTCCTGCACAGCTCTGTGCCCCTGGAAAACTGCTGTTCTGTGGAGCCACAGCTACCCCAAAACTGCAAGCCAAAAACTGCTGAGGCACTAGAGCAGACATCCCCAGCCCACCCTCGGGGCCCACTGCAGGTTGGCTGGGGCCCATCTGCTGCAGCTGACAGCTCAGCTCCAAGCACAGTCTCAGCCTGCCTCCAGCTCACTTGTTCCCTGCTGACCATTTTCCAACGCCTGGCTGTAGAGCCAGCTTACTCCAGGGGCAAGAGAAGGAATGTGTAATGCTGTATTAATCTGCAACTCCCCTGATGCATCCTGTGGGCCTGCAGGCTTTACTGCCTGTGCTTAAGGAGAAAGGAATTCAGCAGGTCAGCTCTTTGAGAGGCAGAAACAAATTCCAATTTCAAGGTGTTAATGGGGAAAAAAACTGAAAGGGTTTGTTCTTATTAGTACCAGGAGAAAAGGGGGGACACTGCTTGGTTCTGACCCTCTTTGAATCAACAGGAAACACCCCTGTGCCCAAGAGCAAAGGGACTCCAGGGGTTGGTGCTGACAGAAAACACAGACAAACCATGGACAGGGTGCACACAGCAGAACCCAGGCAGACAAGTACCCAGCCAGCACAGAGACAAGGACAGAGCTGCAGGTCTCCCAGGATGACTGGACATCTGCAGGAGGTGGCAGTACCAGAGCTGAAGCAATGGGTGCCTTATGGGCCACTAACAGAGCCTCTGTGGCATGCAGGACATCCAGCAGTGCTGGCTCACATCACACCAGCGGCTGCAATTCACTTGGAGTTTGCTTTTTTTCACTCCAAACCGTTTGAGGCACCACAAGAAAGCAGTAGTGTCCCACCCCACTGCTGCCTTCAAGACAGGTCCAAAAGGTGAAGAGAAAGTCGTTAAACTACTCAGCGGAAAACCTGGCAGATGCTGCTCATTTAGAAGACTGTTTCCAAGTCTTGGCTCATTAATGTCTGTAAAATGAATGATCTGCACACAGCTCAGACTCTGTTTCAGACCCTGAAAGGGGCAGCTCAGACCCAGCTGTCCCAGGAGCATGCTTGGCTGCAAGTCCCTGGGGAAATAAAAGCAACCTTTGTACCTGCAACACGGAACACGGCTGCGGTCTTGACCAAGGGTCCAGGTTCACATAAGACATATTAATTTAGAGCTTTCCTGGAAAACAACGAGGTTTCTCCAGCAGTCCCATCAGGAAGGGCAAGCCATGACAAGGAAGCCAGTATGGCTGTGCTGCCATCACTGTAGGGAGAGGCTGGTCCCTGGCAAGGAGATCAGCCAGAGCTCAGGCCCCCAGTTCCCCCCTGGCACTGGAACAAACTTCACATTCTACCTGCCTCTGGATGTCACTGAGATGTGACATGGGCTCCTGAGTACAGCTCCTCTGGGTACTGAGCTTGGGTGTCCCTTGTGCCTGCCATGCCACAGTCACTGTGCCACTGCTCTGCACTGCCCTCCACATGTCCCCACACAGCTCCTGAGACCCCTCAGGGTGTCAGCCCTCTGCTGCACGATGCACTCCGCTCCTGTCCTCTATCAGAGGGGCTCCTTTCAAGATGGGCAGGATGACATTGCACAGCCCCCACAGGCTGGGTTACTTCTCCCAGTCGAGCACCACATACAGCTTTTGTCTGTACAGGTAACTGCAAAGGGCAGACGTCCCTGCAGACGAGCTCTGACACAACACAGAAGCCACAAAAACCACTCAGCCCCCTCCCCTCCCGAGCACTGGCACTATGCCCCCGTGGAATCAGGAGTGACAATTCCCTCCAATGACAGTCTGCTGCCCAAAAAGCACTGCACTCTCTTAGAGCCCCCTGCCATCTCCCTCTACAAACATTCCTCCTGCCAGCCTTCCACAGTGCTCCAATAGCAAACACCAAAGTGACACCAGGAATATTTATTTATTTTCAAGTTTCCAGCAACAAGCTGGACTCACTGCAACTTGAACAAGCCAGTCTGGCACCACAGAAACGTGCTGCATGCAATGGAAACAAACACAAACCACGTTCACTTTCCCTAGTTGTTTCTGGGCAGGTTCCTTGCTCCCTCTCCAGCCCACAGCCCACCCGAGGGCAGGGCTGGATCCCCACTGCACTCCCAGCCACCAGCTGCCCAGCCTCTTGCCCTAGGACTGCACTGGATGTGGGGGACCCGGCCACCACTGCTGTCACTGTTGGCTCCAGTCAGCCAGCACTTTCTGCCGTGAAGACCACACAAACTCCTGCTGCCCAGGGCAGACCTGCAGGAGTCTGGCTCGGGAGCAGAACCAGGTCAGTGCAGTATCTGAGGACGGAGCGTCATGCCTTGGTCCATCAGGGCTGGAGCCCAGCCCCAGTGCATGTGCAGGGATCAGAACAGGCACAACCCCACCATGTTCCAAACAGCCTGTCCCAAGGCTCCGGGATAGGGATGAGGAGCTGGCAGGGCATCCCACCTTCTTTCGGACAGGAGGGCACAGAGAGTGCTAGAGGAGAGCTGCTGCCAAGAAGAGTTCAGGTGAGCCTCCTCCTGCCACAAGAACCCCTTCAGTCCCCTCCTGGGCTAACACCTGCCCTGTCAGCTCAGAGAGGAGTGCCAGGAGCAAGGCTGCAGCACGAGCCATGCCTTACCTTTGGGCCTGGAGACCTCGGTGGCATTGGGAGCTGTCATAGCAATGCAGACGTCATCCTGGGGAAACTGGTCACACTTGAGCATCTCTGGCCAGAAGAAGCCAAAGAACTGCATGACAGGCTCACAGGAGTCACGCACGGCCTCGCAGAGCCAGCGGCAGGGGTAGACGGGCCGGTCCAGGCAGACGGGGGCAAAGAGGGAGCAGAGGAAGACCTGGGTGCCCATATGGCAATTCTTGTTGAGCAGTGGCACCCAGCTGCTCGCCTGGTGCTTCACCTCGGCCATGGTCTCGTGGTCCAGCAGGTTGGGCAGCACCATCTTGTCGTAGCCCACGCTGTGGCAAAGCCGCAGGTCGGCAGGGATGGCCACACACTGGTGGGGTTTGGCGTAGAAGCGCCCGCCAGGGTAAGGGCCCAGGTCTGACTGGTAGCTGACATAGTCGTACTCGCTGGCCACGCCGCAGGCCAGCAGCCCGGCGGCCACCGACACCAACGCACGCAGGGCGGCCCCGCCGGGCCCCCTCACGCTGCCCATCGCCGCGACCCGCCGACGGCGGCCCCGACAGCACCGCACGCCGCTCCCCGCCGGGCGCCCGCTGCCGGCGGCCGCCCCCGGGGACTCTCCTCGCACCCCCACCGACGGTCCCGGAGCTGCCCCTCGCCGCTCCCCTCGCTCGCTGCCCGCAGAGCTCCGCCGCCCTCCCGCCGCCCCGGCCCCGGCCCCGCTCTGGCCGCGCTCCGGCCGCGCCGCGGGTTTGTGAGCCCGCGGCAGCCAATCAGCGCCGCGCCGCCCGCCGCGCGCTCGCCCGCCGCTGTCAATCAGCGACAGCAGGAGCCAATCCCGCCCCGCCCCGCCCCGCCCAGCGCGGCCCCGACGGCCCCGGAGCTCGGCCCGGCCCGGCTCGGCCCGGCTCGGTTCGGTTCGGCTCGGCTCGGTTCGGCTCAGCCCAGCCCCACATACAGCGGCTGAGGGATCGCCCGGCCCAGCCCGGACTGCAGCCGGGGCAGCTCGGGGGTACCCAGAGGCCCCCCCGGGCCGGAGCTCGTCCCGCAGCACCGCTCGGCTTCATCCCCGGTGGGCGGCCCGAATCCTCCCGAGCCGTTCCCGGTCTCTGAAGCCGGGGTGGCCCCGGGAGGTCCCGGCGCTCCTGAGCGGCTGTTCAAAGTTGTAGACATTTTTGTGAACCTGTAATGGACTTGTGCAGAACTCATTTCCCAGTTGACAAATTCCAACAGAAACTATGATATTGAAAGGGAAAAAAAAAAAAAAAAAAAAAAAAAAAACAACCACAAAAAAAAAAAAAAAAAACAGGAGAAAGGGGGCATGTTCTGTAAAGGGCAGCCTGCTCCAGATGTGCCGGAGGAGCAGGAGCTGCATCCCCTGTTCCTCCAGCAGCACCGGCCCCTCGCCACCCTTACCTTGCTGCGCTCCCGGGGCTTGCAGGAGCTCGGTATGTGGAGGATGGAGCCGCGGGGCTGCCCAGGTGCCAGCACAGCTCCCGCGGCTGCCCCGGGGCACAGCAGGGTGCCCTTGGTGCAGGCCAGGCAGGAGAAGCTCTCTCGGTGCTTGTGCACATCTGGCCATTGAGCAGCTCTGCCCCTGTGTGCCCGCAGGGCACTGAGCTCTCTCGGTCCGGAATCCTCCAAAGCGCTCCTTCCTGCTGCTGCCTTCGGCTGGAACAACTTGTACTACTTAAAACAGGAACTACACCTCATTGAGAGGTAAATGGAAGAGGCTCTGCAGCCTGGAAGCCTGAAAGAGCCACTTTCACCTGAGGGCCAGCAGAACAGAGCAGCCAGTTAGCACCACTAATGAAGTGAAGAATTTAGCGGTAAACAAGGGACCCGGAGCAAAAGAGGCAGCTGGATGGAGACTTGGGCTCAGGAAATGATCACTGATCACTGCTTGTACCAAGAAACAGCTGCAAAATGGACTTCTCATTCCTTGAGAAATTCTGACAGTATAGAATCTGCTTTTACCAAAACTTGTTTAGAAACAGCGAAATATCTCATTTTGAGGATTTAGAAAATAGTGCTGTGTCCCAGGAAACAAGTGTAATGTGGAACAGGGCACTGATCTGCTGGAAGATTAATTCAGGCATCCTGATTTGCACCCAGGTGTTATCCACGAGCACAAGTCTCTGGCTGGGAACAAACTGTGCCAGTGCCTCTTCATCTTCCATGGCAAGATCATAGAAAAGTCTCAGAGCCTCTCTATTTGCAGAGCAGCAATGGGTGCGTTTGACTTTGGCAGTGCTATGATCCTTCTGTTCCAGCAAGAGGCATGCAATAGGAATATCACAGGCAGGCAAGGTGAGGTCTTGGGAAACTCTTGTTCAAAAGTTGGAGAGCTCTCCAAAGGCAGCAGCAGTAGCACTGCAACAAAACTACAGTCAGGGTTCCAGTTATCTGCAGGTCAGCAATAACCACACGGCACCAGGTAAATGTCCTGTCAGGGTCACCCCAGGGACACGTATCCTGGAGCATCCCACACTGATTAGTGGGTGGCACTGCAGCCCTGACAGCTGAACAGTAGCTGCTGAGCCTGCCACAGTTCACAGCTCTTGAGCCAAGCAGGAAAGCTTGCCTTGGCTGCTAAATTTGACCACATGCATGGTCTGGACAGTTCCTGAACTTGGCTCAGGGAAGGTCTTTGCTGGCTCCCTTCTCCCTTCTGACAGTTCAGCATGCCTTGGCTGCTAAATCTGACCACATGCATGGTCTGGACAGTTCCTGAACTTGGCTCAGGAAGGTCTTTGCTGGCTCCCTTCTCCCTTCTGTGGCTGACATCCACATTCATGACAACAGAGCCTGAATGGGAAATCAAGAGTAAATTTTAAACTGAAATACAATTGACCAGCAAATATAATTGCTGGCAAAACATTTTTTATTTAAAAAAATATAAGAAACCAGGAAGAATGAGGAAAAAACCTAAACCAAATTAAAATGCCAACTCTAGTCTAGGCCAATAAATTGCTTAATACATGATATAAGACCTCTTAGAAAGCAGCTGCCCAAGAAGGGCTGCTCTTCCACCAGACCTCTTCCAGACTGCACAGGAACTTTTCTGAGTGAAGCCTGTGCAACCATTTCCCTTCATAATTGTGTAGCCCACTGCTTCTTAAATCTCTGCCTTGTCTCTAATGTCATAGCCATTTATTGCTGCCTTTCCCACAGGGGCTAACATTTTCTTATTGAATAATGAGACGCTTTGCACCACACACCATTCTGGCTGTCCCAAGACCTCTCCTGCCCTGTGAAAAGCCCAGCCCAATTAACCGTGCCTATTTCTGGCTCCATTGTTCATCCCAGCAGCCTGCAGGACCAGGCACTCTGCCCTCATCTGCAGCTCAGCATCCCACCCTGCTCCACGTGCACCTGCGGTGTGTGCTCGGTGGTGACAGGGCAGGTGGCAGGTGACATGTCCCCGTGCTGCTGGCAGCGGTGTTCTCCCACCTGTCCCATCCTCCCTGCCCACACCGGGCACACTCTGCCCTGGCCACCTGGTGCTGGAATGCGCCTTTCCCTGCATGCAGCCCTGGGGAAACAGGCAGGCATGGGATAATAGAATATATTAGCCCTGAGTCCATTCAGGCCCTGGCTCTTTATGAACAAAGCCTGCTAACTGAGCTGATTTTTGCCAAATGACTGGCTTTCGTGCATGAGCAGCAAAGTGGAGCCCCAAAGACTCCCATGCAACAAGCGCTCATTGCCCAGGGCTCATTGTTTTACGCCTGCACTTGAGGGCATGGAGGAGTCACGGCCTTGCCTGCCCTGGCATTTCTTCTCCAGTTTCCCACCACTGCATTAGCCCCATCTCAGCCCCAGCAGAGGCAGCAGTGACGGGGGAGATGAGACAAACTCAGGGACAGGATCACCGCAGTCCCTGTCCCAAGGCTCACACTGTCCCTTGGTGCCCATGGCCCCTCTCTGGGGGCAGATGGGATGCACCAGCAGAGGCAGCCCACCTACCATGTCCCTACATGGAGACCCCACCATGGCACCCCTGCAGCAGGACAGCTCCTGGACACCCCCAGGAAATATTTGCTTCAGGTTAGATCACTGTCAGCCCACCAACAGCTGATAGCTCCTGCCAGGGTCAGTCCCTGAGGAGGATGTTGGTTTTGCCATGTTTGTTTTCTGTTTTTTTCAGCAGATTGCTCCAAGACTCCAATAACACTGATGCAGCCAGGAATGCTCCCTCACCCCATGATAAGAGAATCTGCACAGGGAGTTTTTGCAGCTGTGGGGATCTGGTCTGATGCCTCAGCCAGGTGCCCAGTGCCCCTGGGGCTGCAAGAGACATCTTCACCAAAAGCTGGCCAGCAGCAAGGCCAGGATCAAGGCACGCAACAATTGCAGCTGATGTCTCCTGTTTGTGTGAAATTAGCACCAATAAATGCTATAACTATACATGACCAACAACAGATTTACTAGCTAACATATAAAGGACTACAAGAGCTAGTGCCTTCAGCACTGGTGAAACTCTTGACCGTCTGCCCCTAGTCCCAGGAGGGAACCGATGGCAAATGTTTACAGGGGCTTATAAATATTTATCCTGTAATAACTTGCTGCATTACAGCACATTCTTCTCCACAAGGCTCAGCTTTGCCCTGGACCAGGTGCAGGCTGCTGAGAGGGTCTGTGGCACATATAAAGTTTGCCTGAATAACATAGAGCAAGTGCTGGTGTTCAATAAAACAGCAGCAGCCAAGCTGCACGCGTGAAAGGCACTGCAAGTCATTCCTTACCCAACAAAAGAAAAATGTGGCTGGGGGAGCACAGGTGTGCAGGCACGTTTGTGTGGGTGCACACCCCTTCTGGGTTGCCAGAGTAACCTGGGGAAGTGCTGGAAGTCACTGGGGAGGTAAAAATCACACTGCTGGGCTGGCCTGATGGAAGTCTCGGCCCAAGAGTGGCCCCGTGCTGCTTGAGAACATGGGGACCCTCGGCTGCTTTTGTGAGAACCCCAAAGGAAGAGAAAGGAGACTGGCCCACCATGAGGAAACATCTCCTCATGCTTCTTGCTCTTCAGCAATCCTATCTGCCCGCTTCCCTCTAAAAATTTTTGAGCCATTTGTCCACTTATTTATTTATCTTTCTCATGCTAAATGCTTTGCAAGAGCATAAGATACCTGTGGTTTGGAAACCATGTGGTAGTCTCCAAGCTGGACCAGAGATGGAGTTCAGAACTACCTTCTAACAGGAGTAAATAAGCAGATTGGAAAGGCTCCATTGTGTATATTCTAGGTTGCTATTTTCTTAACCCTGTCTCATTAAGATGGATGGAGTTTCTGCTTATTAGTAATTTGGCAAGTTCCTCTTTGTGTACACTCTGCACTTCTCACTAATGACGCTGTGCTTCAGTGATTAACAAAAGAGACTTCCAGCATAGTCAGTGAAAACAGCCACGCACTCGGGGCACTGGGACGGAAACCCAACGTTCTGGAGATGCCCTCTGTGGAAGACTGCAGGGAACCCAGCAGAGGAGAAGCTGCTGGCCACGAAACCTTTCATGTCACTCAAATAATTTTGACCTGAGGACGTTGGTTATTTGATTTACATGCATAATTGCAGAGCTGACAGAGCCTGCAACAAAGTGATTCACAGCCCTTCCTGTGCTGTTCTTAAGACACATCTGATGGAGATGAAGCTGGCACTGCTACTGCCTGGATTTACAGCTGGCCATTAAAGTATGTTTACAAGTCTTTAGTACAGTGTACACATCTGGTAAATCATTGACTGAACAAATAGCT